AGACCCCACTCCCCTCCCAGAGCCGGGGAGAGAACCCAGGAGTCCTGGCTCCCCCCTCCCCCCTAACCACTAGACCCCACTCCCCTCCCAGAGCTGGGGAGAGAACCCAGGAGTCCTAGACCCCACTTCCCTCCCAGAGCCAGGGATGGATCCCAGGAGTCCTGCAGCCTCTCCCCCACCTGATGCTCCGTGGCCGGGAGGGTCTTCAGGGCCACCAGGAAGTCATGGCTGATCCTGCCGGCGGAGCAGATGCCCCAGCGGGTGGCCATGGTCCTGGGGGGGCTGGGCTGCAGGCGGGTCCTGGCTCCTGGGGGACGCGGGGGGCAGCAGCGTCTCTCCTGCTCCAGGCTGGGCTGGTGCATGGTGGAGCCGGCTGAGCAGCTGCCCGGGCGTGGGGGCGGGATGGGGTGAGGCGGCCCGGGGCGGAGTGGCACACCCTAGGACACTGCGCATGGGGCGGATTCGACGGGGGGGTGGGGTGGCGGGGGAGGATCAGCCCCTCCCTCCCTCCCTCCAGGGCACAGATGGGGGGGCATGGGAGGCGGGGGGGGGAGAGATTTCTGCTCATCTCTTTCTCCTTCACTGCCCCCAGCCCACCAGGATTGGGGGAGTGGGTGAAGGAATAGGGGGGTCACTGGGGTGGGGAGGCCTTGGGTTGAGGGGGAGGGAGAAGGGGACAGGGGGGTTCATCGGGGTGGGGGGTTATGGGTGTCACAGACTCATGGGGGCTGCTCTGTGCCCCAGCCTGGAACCAGTCTCCTGGACGTGACCCCTTAGTGGACAGGGCCCCATGGCCTCTGAGACTAAGCCGTGATCCCCCCGGGTGCCCCCTCCCCCTCTCCGTGGCCCCCGGCCGCGAGTCCAGCCCCCCCTGCGCCCTTTGCCAACCGCAGGCCCGTCTGCGGGCTGGCACCGGGATGAGGAGTCCGGCAGGGTCCGGGCGGGTCAGCCCAGCACCCAGCCAAGCTGCTGTGAGCCCCATGGCCCGGCCCCACTTGTTCAACACCAGCCCTTTATCCCCCCCTCAGAGTGTCTGTAGGTTGGAGGGGGGCATAGTCAGGTGGGGGCCTTGGGGTTGCCCTTGTTGGCTCAGATCCTTGGTGCTCCCCCGACCTCCCCATCCCCTGAGAGCAAACAGACCCCGCCCAACACACCGGGCAGCCATGCGAAACAGAAGGGAAACTGAGGCAGGCACAGGCCTCATAACAATAGTCCAGACAAGGCCTACTTTGTCACAGCCGGTAACCCCCAGCCGTGGGATTCTGGGGTGTCTGAGGTACGGGACATCTGGTGGGGTCAGCGCTGGTGGTGAGGGGGGTTGCAGGGCTCAGGGCAGGGGGGGCTGGAGAGGAGCAGCGCCCTGAGGGGACCCCAAGATGAAGGAAACGCCCATGGAATCCAGCAACCTGAGGGTGAGGTTGGCAGGGCACCCCCAAATTGGACTCAACAATCAGCCCCCCTCGGGGGGTCTCGCTTCTGGGTAGATTTTATTTGGATCAAGAATCTGTTACACTCTCGGGGGTGGGGACACTTCACAGTCCGTGGATTGGGGGGGGTCCCCCAGAACAGCCCTGACCCCCCTTCTTTGGGGGCGGGGGACACTGAATCAATCAAGATGGCGGCTGCAGCTGTCCGATCCTGACCCCAGCTGCAGCTGTCACGGCAACGTCTTCGAAAGAGGTGAAATGGTTCAGGGCCAGAGGGGAAAGGTCAGGACGAAGGGTCAGAGGTCAAGGGTCAAATAGACCGCAGGCCAAGGATGACATCAGAGGGCCACAAGGAAAGTCAGGGGTCATAGGTCAAGGATGAGCTAGGCCCAAAGAGACGAGAGGCTAAGATGGGGAGGTCAAAGGTCAAGAATGACATTAAAAATGCCAGAGGTCAGAGTAGTGAGAGGTCAAAGGGTAAAGTCAAGGAATCAGAGGTCAAGGGTGACAAGGCCCCGTCAACAGGGGAAGGGGTGGGTCAGAGAGGAACCAGCCACTCAGAGTAGGTCAGCATAGGTCAGAGGTCGCAGGGTCAGAGGTTGTGGGGTCATTCAAAGGTTGTGGGGTCAGAGGTCATGAGGTCATGACTGAGGTCGTGGGGTCGGAGGGGGCGGGGACTACTCGCAGGCGAGTTTCCCGTCGAAGCTGGACAGGCAGATGGCGAAGGCCTGCAGGGCGCAGAGGGGGGCGCGATAGTCCATGGTGAAGACGTCCGGCGCCACCCGGCCAAACTGCAGCACGATGTACTCGGCTGGGGGGAGAGGGGGATGGAGGGTTAGTGTGTGGGGCACAGCCCCCCAAACCTTCCCGATCCCCCCAATCCTCACCCCAGATACCCCGTTCCCCCCCTATCTGCATCCCACTGGTCTCCCCAAATCCCCCCAGTTCCCCCTGATCCCCCCCAAATCCCCCCAATCCTCACCCCAGATACCTCCCAATCCACCCCTCTGGCCTCCCCAAATCCCCCCAGTTCCCTGCAATCCCCCCAATCCTCAGCCCAGATACGCTCCACCCCACCAGCCTCCCCAAATCCCCACAATCCCCCCCAAATTGCCCCCAATCCACCCCTCCGGCCTCCCCAAATCCTCCCGATCCTGACCCCAGATACGCCCCGCCCCACCGGCCTCCCCAAATCCTCCCGATCCTGACCCCAGATACGCCCCGTCCCACCGGCCTCCCCAAATCCCCCCGATACCACCCAATCCATCCCAATGGCCTCCTCAAGTCTCCCCAGTCCTCAACCCCAGATACCCTTCAACCCGCCCCAGCGGTCTCCCCAAATCCCCCCAATCTGCCCCTCCAGCCCTGATCTGTCTCCAACGCCCCCCAATCCATACCCCCCCCACAAACTCCAGCACGGTGTGCTCCGCTGGGGGGTGAGTGTGTGGGGCACAGACCCCCAAATCCAGCCCAATCCCCCCCCAAGCCCTGTCCTGCCCCCCCAACACACCTAACAGCCGATGGGGGGGAGAGAGGGGAGACAGCCCTGATCCCTCCCACGTCGCCCCCCCTCTTCCCCCCCCCCGGCCCCCCCCATCTTCCCCCCCCCCACAGTCGTGGTCAGGGACGATCTGGAAGTTCTTGACGGAGGCCTGGGTGACGCGCCCGTGGAAGTTGAGCACGTACGACTGGGTCTCCTCGTTCCAGGCCGGCACCTTGTTCTGCAGAACCAGCAGGTTCTGGAGGTTCCGGTTCTGGAACCGGGTCAGCAGGGTCTCGTGTTCCTGGAGAGAGACAGCAGGTGGGGTGGGGTGTGTCAGAGCCCGGCGCTGCGAGCTTCCCTCCAGCAGTGCCCTGGCTGGGGTTCCCCAGCGCTGCGAGCTTCCCCGCAGCAGTGCCGTGGCCGGGGTTTCCTAGTGCTGTGAGCTTCCCCACAGCAGTGCCTCGGCTGGGGTTCCCTGGCACTGCGAGCTTCCCCGCAGCAGTGTCCCCGCAGCAGTGCCCAGCCTGGGGTCCCCTGGCTCTGTGAGCTTCCCCACAGCAGTGTCCCGGCTGGGATTTCCCAGTGCTGCGAGCGTCCCCACGGCAGTGCCCCAGCCAGCGTTCTCCAGCAGCCTCACGTTTTTCGGGCGGATGCTGATTCTCTCGTTGTCCGTGTTCATGCCGGGGATAATCACAGTCATTTTTCGGGGTCCCCTGAACCCCAACACATTGGTCTCCTGTTGTGAAGAGCAGCAGAAAATCTATGACCCCGTCGTCCCCCAACATCCCCCTGCCCCAAAAACCCTCCACACCCTCGTCATATCCGTGACAGCGGCCAGTGGGGACACCAGCGCTGCAAGCTTCCTCACAACAGTGCCCCCAGCTGGGGTTCCCAGCACTGTGAGCTTCCCTGCAGCAGTGCCCCCAGCTAGGGACGCCGGCGCTGCAAGCTTCCCCACAGCAGTGACCCAGCGGGGGACGCTGGCGCTGCGAACTTCCCCACAGCAGTGACCCAGCTGGGGACGCCGGCGCTGCGAACTTCCCCACAGCAGTGACCCAGCTGGGGACGCCAGCGCTGTGAGCTTCCCCACAGCAGTGCCCCAGCCGGGGATCCCGGTGCTGCGAGCTTCCCCACAGCAGTGCCCCGGCTCCAAGGTTTTCTCACGTACGTAGCAAATGGCCGCCAGCTCCTGCCGGATCGGAGCCGTTTCAGGGACGAAGGGTTTTTTATCCGGATTCGTCCCGTTATCGAACACTGTGAACCTGGTGCCCAGCACGTTGGACCTGCCAGGAGATCAGAAAGGCCTGGTCACCTGGGGACCCCTCGCCCGGCGCTGGGATGCGACCGCCTCTGGGGTGGGGCGCGGGGGCTGGGTATACGGGGACCCCTCGCCCAGGTGGAGACGCGGCCCCTCTGGGGTGGGCGCAGGACCCACCTGACTTTCCCGATGAAGCCGTCCCCGTCCCGGGACAGGTCGATGGGGTCGAGGGAAATGAGGTAATTGGAGGTTTTGCTTTTCTTTCTCTTCCGGCCAGACATGAGAAACAGCTGAGAGAGACGGAAATGAACAACTTGCCCCAGCCTCTGCCCCACGGTGACTCCTCTTCCACTGCCTCCCCCGGCCTCTGCCCCACGGCGCCCCCCCCTTCCACTGCCCCCCCCCGCCCCCTCCCCCACGGCCCCCCCCTCTTCCCCTGCCTCCCCCCGGCCTCTGCCCCACGGCACCCCCATCTTCTGCTGCCTCCCTCCAGCCTGTGCCCCACAGCACCCCCCTCTTTCACTGCCTCCCCCTGGACCCTGCCCCACAGTGCCCCCCTATTCTGCTGCCTCCCCCCAGCCTGCACCACATGGCATCTCCCTCTTCCGCTACCTCCTCCCCAGCCTCTGCCACATGGCGCTCCCCTCTTCCGCTGCCTCCCCTAAGCCTGTGCCCCATGGCACCCCCCTCTTCCGCTGCCTCCCCCCGGCCTCTGCCCCACGGTGCCCCCCTCTTCCACTGCCTCCCCCGGACTCTGCCCCACGGCGCCCCACTCTTCCGCTGCTTCCATCCAGCCTCTGCCCCACGGCGCCCCCCTCTTCCACTGCCTCCCCCCAGCCTCTGCCCTACGGCACCCACCTCTTCCGCTGCCTCCCCACGGCCTCTGCCCCACGGCACCCACCTCTTCCACTGCCTCCCCAGGCCTCTGCCCCACAGTGTCTGCTTCCTCTCCACACTGTTATCCCCCCCCAGTACCTTCCTCCCATCATCTCTCTCCAGGTGGAGGTAGTAGAAGGGGAAGACGCCCTTGTCCACCCCCTTGCGGTCCCGGCTGATGCGGCACTGGACGGTCACCCCGGGGGGCGCCGGGCGCAGCACGAACCCCTCCAGCTCCTCTGGCCGCGGAGGCCATGGGGTCCCCGGCGCCTCCTCCGGCAGCTGCGGGAGACGGAGAGGGGTGAGACCTGCGGGGGGAGGGGGTGACGAGAGGCCAGGCCTTGTGTGCCCCGGGGTGGGGAGTCTGGGAGGGAGGGTCACGGGGCCGGGGGCCAATGCCCAGGGCAGATACTAGTGCAGGAGGCGTGTGTGGGGCACCGGGGCCTCGTGCAAAGGGGTGCAAGGGGCCATCCCGATGGGTGGGAGCCAGGCGCGGGGGCCCTTACGCTGGGGGTGTCGGCCTCCGGTGTGGGCTCCAGGGATCTGCAGAGGATGTCGGGCTCTCCTTCCTCCTCCTCCGCGCTCCCGGGGGGGCTGCCGAGAGACCCTAGGGGGGAGATCGGGGGGAAGGTCAGAGAAAGCCCTGCCCCCCCCAAGCCACCCTGAGTGCCCCCCCGAGAGCCCTTATCCCCTGAGCCCCCCTCGCTGGCAGCCCCCCCACCTGGCACACACACCCCCGGCCCGCCCTACCCCCATCCCCACCGGGCGCTCCCCCCACCTCACCCCTCTGTCCCAGAATCCTTTGCACCGAGCCGAACCCATCAGCACAGAGGGATCAATCGATCCACCCCCCCAGCCTTCCCTACCCACAATGCCACTCTCCCTCACCCCCCCACCCTCTCACCTCTGCTGGGGAGCTTCCTGTCCTGTCTTCTCTTGACGGGGGAGGGGGGCACGGGGGGGTCCTGGGGCAGTTGCCCCTCCCCCTCCGAGTCCCCCTCCAGGGCTGACTCCCAGCCCGCAGCGCCGGCCTCCAGGGGGGCGTCCCCGTCGCTGCTGTCCTGAGGGTCTGGGGGGATGGGGAGCGGGGGCTTAGTGCTGGAGGAGGCGCTCCCCATGCCGGAGCCACTCTCACCCCAGCCTTGCATGGGCGCTTGGCAGTGAAACCCCCTCATGCCCGCTCACACACGAGGGATGCACCCTCGCCCCCCTTGCACGCCCACCTGCACGCTCCTCTCCCCCACCCGGGCCAGTTGCACCAGGGCCGCAGTCTCCATGCCCCCCCCCTCGCATGTCCAGTCCCGCCCCGCCGTTCCCACCTCCCCCTGCCAGATCCCGGTAGTGCCCCACCTCTGAACTCCACGATGACAGAGGGGACTCGCTCCCCTCGTGCGGGCGATGGGGCATTCGGCTTCGAGCTCCGGGGGCGTCGTGCGTCGGCATGGCCGGCTGTGGGGCAGAGAGGGGGCCGGGGGGTAGAGGTGCGGGGTCAAAGGGTGCACTGTCCCCTTTAAAAGGCCGGGCCAAGGGCGTCATAGCCACCGTTGCTAAGGGGTTAGGAGTGTGACAACACAGCAACGAGGTGGGGCACCCACTGCAACGGTTGCATAGCAACGGAACGGTGTGAGCAGCATGGCAACGGTTGCATAGCAACGGAACGGTGTGAGCAGCATGGCAACGGTTGCATAGCAACGGAACGGTGCACATATTATGGTGCACATGCGTGGCAACGGTTGCACGGCAACGGTTGCCCCTGTTTCCTGCCATGTGCTCACCCCCGCTACGCTTGGCCGGCCAACCCTTGCGTGTGGAGCTGAGCGCCGCCTTGGTCTTGTTGATGGGCCGCGTGTCCTCCAGGACAGCCTCTTCCAGCTCCGCGTCGGAGGCACCTGGATGGGGGAGGCAGAGAGTGACTGAGCGGGCGGAGCCGGGGGGGGGGTCCCACCAGGGACTGGGCCCGCACCGAGGATCTGCCCCCCCGTTACCTGCGGCCTCGCCCCCGGCTCGGGGGCCCCAGTCCAGGTGCACGGAGCTGCCCCAGGCGTCAGTGGGGCGATGGGCCTCCGGGACCGACTCCACCAGGAAGGGGTTGCTGGTTCCTACGGGCAGAGAGAGTCCGTCACCTCCTATGGCGCCAGCCCCGCCCCCGGCAGTCAAGCCCCGCCCCCAGCAGACAAGCCCCGCCCCGTTGGGTGAGACAAGGGGCGCTTTGCCATGCCACAGTTTAGAGTGGGTGGGGCCTGGCCATCGGCCACACCCCCAAATGCCACGCCTTCTTGCCTGGGCCTAAATACTGGAAGCCCCGCCCACAACAGACAAGCCCCACCGCTTCCCTGCCCTATTTTGGTTAAGAGGGGGAGCAGTTCTGCCCTCTGTAGTAACCCACCTGCTAGTGGGCGGAGTCTAATTGCTATCAGCCCTGCCCACAAATAACAGGCCACGCCCACATATGCCACACCCCTTCTCTATTTTTCCAATGGGATGGCTGCCTGCACTACTGCTGGTAGAGGCGGGGCCTAATTCTCGGAAGCCCCGCCCACTCTTAGCAAGCCTCAACTCCAAGAGGACCCACCCCTTCCACCTCTCTCTTGACTGACAGACTGATACCCGGACAGCCACGCCCTCTGTTGTGGGCGTGACTTTTGTTTAGGAAGCCCCGCCCCGTTGACAAGCCACACCCCCACGGACAAACCACGCCCCTTTCCCCTGCCTTCTTCTCTGACACAGGCAAACTATTAACCCCCCTTGTGGCCTTAGCTCTGGCAGGGGGCGAGGCCTAATTTTGGAAGCCACACCCCTAATTGATGAGCCACGCCCCTACCTTGGTGTTGGAGGAGGGAGAGTCCCCCCTCCACCGTGACCCGACTGTGTGGGATTTCACCAGCCGGCCAATCACCCCAGTAGGGGCGGGGCTAGCCCATAAGCCCCGCCCACCTGGTGAAGAACCAGAGCTGAGACCGGAGGGGAACTCATTACAATGGTGAGGATGGACCCCTCTCACCGTTGCAGAGGCTGTGGTCGCTGCAGGACTCCATCAGAGGGGTGTGCTCCTCGGGCCGGCGGCCCCGGCGGCCCGTCACCTTGGCGTCAGGGTTAGCCTGGACCATGAGCGGCTCCTGGCGCTTCCGACGCTGCTTCTTCTCAAAAATGCGGCGCTGGGGGTGGGGGAAAGAGGGCAGGAAAGGAGAACAGGCCCTGGAGGCACTGTCCTGGGGAGACACCCCCCAGCCCTGCCTTGGGATCCAGCCTCAGCCCCGATCCCCTCGATCCCAGACCCCTTGGGGGCACCGCTCCCAGCCCCGATCCCCTCGATCCCAGAACCCCCCAGGGCCAGGAGGCACCGCTCCCAGCCCCGATCCCCTCAATCCCAGACCCCTCGGGGGCACCGCTCCCAGCCCCGATCCCCTCGATCCCAGACCCCTCGGGGGCTCCGCTCCCAGTCCCGATCCCAGCCCTGATCCCAGAACCCCTAGGAGACCAGGGGGCACCGCTCCCAGCCCCGATCCCCTCGATCCCGGAACCCCCTGGAGACCAGGGGGCACCGCTCCCAGCCCCAATCCCCTCGATCCCAGACCCCTCGGGGGCACCGCTCCCAGCCGTGATCCCCTCGATCCCAGAACCCCTCAGGGCCAGGGGGCACTGCTCCCAGCCCCGATCCCCTCGATCCCAGACTTCTCGGGGGCTCCGCTCCCAGCCCTGATCCCCTCGATCCTAGAACCCCCCGGAGACCAGGGGGCACCGCTCCCAGCCCTGATCCCCTCGATCCCAGACCCCTCGGGGGCACCGCTCCCAGCCCCGA